TTTTTTTTTTTTTTGCCTCCTCCTCCCCCTCCCCCCAGTAAATCAGAAACAACATAACATTTACAGTTATGCACAACTACTATAGTTTCCCTGCCAATAAGCTGCCAAAAAATTTTCCAATCCATTTTTCACTTGACTTTTTCAATCTTATTTTTTTCTTCCTCTTTTTAAAAACAATAGAAAATGAATGATGGTGTTGTTTTAATGCATTATGCTCGAAGATTGAATAGAGTGAATGGTTATGGAGGAAGTAGACATCAAACTGTTGTTCTAACTAAACAAATATATCTTCAACAAACAAATAACTAAATCTGATTTCCCTTTTTTTTTCCTTTTTTTGTGCATCCTTACCCTTTTTACTCCTCTAGAACCCAACCATATAGTTGGAACTGTTCATGGCAACTGAGTGTTATAGAAAAATGAATACGTTAGGCGAACAAACAGACAAGTAAAAAAACAAAACATACAAACAGCATAAAAACTTTCAAAAGAACGGTGGAAAAAAAAAAGAAAACTGGAAGATAAAAATTACAACTTTATAATTTATATACTATCCATCCAAATACATTTAGCTAACAACAAAATTGTTGTTGTTGTAAGCGAACGTTTTCTTCACTTCTATTTTTATCTTTATTTCTATTTTATCTTACTTTTTTTTTGCTGCTTTTTGACCTTGGTTGTTTAAACCGCTGGTTAACTGTAAAAACAAAAACAAATTTGTAGAAGAATATACAAATTTTACTTAGAACTTTCCATTCCTTTTTTTTTTCTTATTGTAGTTATCTCTTATTAAATAAGACACTTTAGGAATGTAATTCTTCTCCTTTTGCTCCTCGTACACTCTTCGTTTTTCCGTTTCATCAAACTACCCCCTCCACAGTCTTTGCCGCCAGCACTCAGTTACATCAGAAACTGCCATTTAATTTGACATTCATTATAATTTAGCCAAAAAAAAAACAAAAAAATAACAAGAAAGAAACAGCAAATAAAAAACTGATTAGCTACTTGAAATACAATTTCTTATTTGCTGTGCCACCTTCCGTGTCCTTCCAGTTTTTTCATCTTGATAACAAACGTTTGGTTTTTTTTACTTCTTTTCTTATATATATATATATA